ACACTCGCTCAAGCACGAGTGTATCATCTTTTTCCAATATACAAGTAAACTTACTCTACTATAGGGAAGAGAGTTCGTCCCTCCCTTCTCGAATTTCCTCAAAACATCCCTTCGAAAATTGGAGAAATGTCACAAAATGGATCTAGTGGCAGGTAAACTAGATGTTCTCCAGAAAGTGAGTTGTATACCGTTCGACAGTATTTTTTTATGGGGAATTGAATGGTGCACATCTCAGTCTTCTATGTTCATCTGGAGAACCAAAAAAAATCTGATCATATCGCAAGGGCATGACGAGGTGTGATGTTTGGGGTCACACTACGGAAGGAAGACTCACCTGCCACCAAGGTTTCTATGTAATTCCTACAGACAAGTGACCGTAGTCTACGACAGTAAAGGAAATTCGTCGCTGCCTTCACAGCTTTCTACATAACATCTGCTCTAAACATGGAACATGTCGCAAAAAATGGGGCGAGGTGTGATGTTTGGGGCCACACTACGAGAATGAATGTCATATTCGTAATCAGGGCATCGAATTACCCCAATAGGCAAAGTTTCGACGAAAAATGAAACTTTGAGATTTTGGGGCAGTAATAGTGGAATAATGATGCCCAATCAATAGGGGAAGGCTGAAAACGGTGAAAAACCAAAGTTTCAACTGGGGAAGTAATGCATATCATTCGATAGCATTTTTCACGGGGAATCTAACGGGGCACATCTCAGGTCTGCGAGTTCATCTGGAAATGCAAAAAATCTGATCTTTCCACAAGGGCATGACGAGGAGGCATTTTCACAGCCACAGCACGGCGGAAGCGCTCGTCTACAAGCAAGTATGTCATCTTATTTCTACACTCAAGTAAGCGTACTCTACAACAGTAAAGAGATTTTCCCTCTACCTCCTCAGTTTTCGGAAAAACCTTCGCTCAAACATTGGAAAATTTCACCAAATAGGCTAGGGCATGACGAGGAGGCATGTTCATGGCCACAGCACGCAGGGAGCGGTCATCTGCAAGCAAGTGTGTGATCTTATTCCTAACACAAGAAATTTCCCCGCTACCTCCTCAGATTTCGGAAAAACCTTCGCTCAAACATTGGAAAATTTCACCAGATAGGCTAACTGTCCAGCCGAGAATTGATCTATGATTTCCATTTGAACACGAGAGGAGGAGATGTTGAGCGCAGGGACTACGTGTTAAGTCATTTAACGCGCCGCTGTGGAATAGGGACCATGAAATCTGGAAAAAAGCAATCGATCCATTCACAATACAATGGACGATGTTGAATACGCGGCGCGTTCTGGGGCAACTGCTGAGACCCATCTCTCTGAAGAACGATCATGATGCATAAGCGGGATTATATGCGCACCACATTCAAACAGTTTTTTCTCGAGCCAAAGCTCGAGTGCATGGCGCAATCTGAAGTAAGGCTTTCCAAAAGTTTAAAACATTCTTATAGAACTCGACGAGCTGAGTTCAATGCTTTTTTCGCTTCGTCCTATCAGAAGCGCGAGTTTGCGTTTTTCGCGTGTTTTTTTCGATTTTTTACGGCGAGTACCGTAGTTTTCCACATGGTTAGACTCGCCACAGAGAGACGAGTCCAATGGTGTAGAGCACCAATCATTTGACCCGCTTTGGGGGGAGTTATGAAGGGGCGACGCTTTGCGACGCTGCAAATCCGTCGCTCAGCGGAGAAATTTCAAAAGTTAGTGGCGGTATTGTACTTTTGTTGGCCCGGTCAGTTGAAGAAGCCTCAGATCAAGGTGGATGTTATGCGAACTCTGACACATCTTCAGAGTGGGCGGCTCGTGTGGTCGTCACGCTATCGGATGTCACATATTGCCTCCTAAGCTTAGAGGGCATCCCTGGGCATTGTCTAGTTGCTACTTTTCCCGTACATTCCCAGTCCTCTTCATCAATTTCAATTTGATTCTTAGAATCGTTAAGAATTTCTTGTATCTCCCATCCGTAAGCTACTAATGTAGGTTCAGTAAGAAGTGAAGGCTGTTACAGCTTGGCAAAGCAACTTCTCATTGTTTTCCAGCTTGAGCTTTGTGGCTTCCTATGCTCTTTTCCTTTACGATCTTACTTTCTTCTAGGACAGATATGAAGAAGCGAAACGATGGACGAATACATATCAAGTTGTGCTGGCTACCGATGAGATTCGAAGGTACTTCAAAAGCAACGACCATGATGGCGGGGGGGGGGGCGGTGCGGTTTTGGTGACGTCATTAAACAAACGCCATTGGTGGAATAATCCTTTGACTGTGCTGGAGGTGTGGCTGGGACCGCTTAAACGACGTTCCACCACTAGTCAGCTTCAGTGACGTCATCAGGGATCACCCTCCAGCCGTCGTGATCGCTGCCTCTAATTTTGTTGTTTCGTTTTCAATGGGAACCACAAGAAGCAACGTGAGAAATTGGGCACCCTGCGGCCTGTTGAGGCTTTTGCACATTGAGCACCCGATAGGAGGCCCCTGGCGAGGTGAGCAGACGAGTCGCAGCGCGTGTTGTGTGATGTAGGACGCACTGTAGTACATTCTATTCCATTTGACGCCAAATCGCTTCAGTACGCGCTGCGCGACTCGTCCGCTGACCCGTCTGGTGTCTCCGCTTTCTCACCGCGCGACAGGCCTCCTGCCGGGTACCCTTACACATTTCCACTGTGAGGGTCGCTTTACTCATTACGGTGGGAAAATTTCTGGAGTTATACCGACCCCCTTCCTCAGTCCTGGTGGGGTTGAGCATCAGACCCATTGAATCGTTTTGTGATTGCTCTCTGTAATTTCTCAAACCTTTTTTTCACTCTGATAATCTCTCCTAGAGGGAAAAAGGAGGAGGAAGAGACTGATGCAAAGAAAGTTGATATCCTCAAAATACTCCGAATGCCGTAAAAATCCCATTAACCCAAGCTTTCTCTCCCAGTATCTTTCAAAAATGCAATGTCACTCTATGGAATGCGACCCGCTTTCCAAAAAATATACGTATACATATACGACTCCGCTCCCCGCGCCCCCTTGCTCGCTCCCCAGCCTGGAAATTTCTCACAGACGAGCGTTTCAAATCGCTGATGCCCATTAATAGAAATGTCCCATCACCGAAAAGCACAGAACGGTCAGGCCGATCCCTTGTTTACAACCAGCATGTTCACTGCCCTTAGTTTTTGGGGAGGCTTCCTTATAAAATTCCTATTGCAGTTATGTTATGTTCAACTATGCTCACATAAATTGGACATCATCAAACACTGCCGGAGCACTTCAAGGCCGTGGTGGTTTGCAAAGTGCTATGGTGAGTGACCGTAGTTTCTTTTACTTCAAATGGGACAAAATGCGAGAGGTAATGCAAATGTTGTTTGAAATGCGCGCCAGGAAAATCTCCATGCCGGCTTGTTGCACATTGCTTTTGCCAGCACTCGTGTTCTTGCAAAACAACATGTTAGTCACGAGCCTCTAGTGAGATGGAATATATTCCGCAAACCTTTAAACAGCGGCTGTCCCAATGTGGTCAGATTAGTACAATCCATGCACGAGTTCTTTAGTTAAACCAAATTCTCCATATTGTCGTCCCTGACGCATTTGGGCTACACGTTGATCGTATGCATCCTAACCTTGTCAGAAACAACTGTATGAACTCGATGAGCCGATATTTTCTAGGCTGGTTTCAATGGTGGAAACGGCACAGGCTGGACAGCGCTACCATATTCCTGGTGAAGGTCGTGTAATCAAACTCAAAGGTATGTCAATTTTTCAAATTTTGCATGTCGCTAGCGATGACGTCGTTGAAACCTCGCTAGATAAATGATATGCCCCGTAATGTGCGCAAGAATCTGCCTTGAAGAAGCGTTTTTTCAAATCGTTTCGAACAACGATGCATCCATATCGCTTGTCCCGGCGTTGCGCCGCGGTCGCGACGCGCCGCTTGAAGTGAGAGCTCTGGCAGATTGAAAGATCTAAGCGCAGAAGGCCGCATAACGCATGCTAGATGTCAGCAAAAGGCATTCGAAAATGCACCATGGACGCCTGTGGCATCCCGCGCGCGTCCTGTGGTTAACCCAGCAGCAGAATTGGACCCAACTCTACAGTTCTTTGAGTTCTTTTTTGTTTTCCGCTCCCCTATCCTACACCGATTGCTTTAGAATTTTCCAATGTGGGAGTTCCTGGCCGATGGCTATTTCGTGTTGACGAGGAGATCATTCGGGGTGGATGCAGTAATGAGAGCATAGGTAGGCTTGAATTGGTCGTTAAGTCTTTGTCAATAGTTTTAGCTGATATGATTGTTGATAACCGTCGATCTCGCTCAGGCTACCTAACCACGGCTCCGATCGCCGCGACAATGATTGGCGGAGTGTACGTGAACGTTTCTGGACCGTGTCTTCGTGGTGGCGATGTTGTCAAAGTGATCTTCGATGAGTACCAAGTTGACTGTGTTAGGGTTCAGTTGTGATTGTTTCATTCTTTGTTTTCTTATCGCCTCTGCAGGCACCAGTAAGCGATCAACCAGGACCTAAAGGCACATCCACCGATTACCTGATTGTAATATTCCCTGCACTAGCGAGCTAGACTGGTTCACAGGCGTCAAAGTTGTGCCGCTTCAACAGCTTCCAAGTGAGTGGCGGGAGCGTAGCTTGCTTGTAATCCCCTCTCCATTGTTCACCTCGAAACTAATGGCATGCTCATTTCTGCGTCTCTTTTGTCGCAGCACTATCTCTTTTTCCTTTCCCGTTGCCCACTATCTTCGATGCAGGCTCCTACAAGGTCCCAAACAACTGCAAGGAAAGGAGACCTTTTGCCTTGTGGGGGTTTCTTTTGCCTTATTTTTCACTGGCCACACAGCACCTACAGTTTCATTTTGAACCCCAGCATCCACATTCTACTATCCCTGAATAACTTTAGCGGAGGTGCAGTAGAAGACAACGTCCATAAATACTCAAATTTAGGCAGATTTTAATTTAAAGGCAAACCCCGGGATTAGCCCGACTAGTAGGAAGGATACCGCGAGGGAAATTGTAAGGTCCGTACCTACCTAGATCACTCCAGCTTCGTCGCAAAATTGCGCGGTTAGGGCGCTAATCCTTACGGGCCTGCAACCATCGACCCCGTTGCAACGCTTCCCACCCACCGCGCGAGAGCGTGCATTGATGTAGAGATCAGCGTGCTCTCTCAAACGACGTGCTCTCTCGCGTATTTTGTCTTCTTTGACCGCCCTGTCTCGCCATCGTACCACATCCGACCTTATTGAAGGTTAAGGCCTTATTTCAGCGTTCCAAAGATTTCTCTTGCTTTCCTTCCACTTTCAGGTCGTTCCGCAGCTAAGCTATCACTACGAAGCGCTGATAGCACCAGTTTAATCCCGGGGTTTGCCTTTAATCTTTGCCTCACCAAATGTATTAGAGAGTTATGATTTAGGCGTTTTTCCTCCTCCCAAGCCACCCCCCTGGTCCGTCCTTTCAACGAACAACCGCCCACGTTCTGGCTGGATGAAAATTGTGGGCGGAGTTGAAGATGTCGACTGGACTCTTTGGTTTAGGAATCAAATGCTATAAAAGCAACCACGGCGAGTGCTGTCGACAGGAGTGATCCCGTCACGTGTGGTAGGAGACCGTGAAGTGTTTTGAGATCGGTCGAACGCGGGGGCTTGACCCTGCTTGAAAGTCTAGGGCTTACGGTATTCCTCACAAATCACGCTGCAATCGTAAAATATTTATACGCTCAAGAATTAAAGCTGGCAAAATGCACCCAATAAAACGTATCGATTGATAATTAGTTTTTTTGTGAAGCACTGGATGATG